TCTTCTTCTTCTTCTTCTTCTTCTTCTTCTTCTTCTTCTTCTTCTTCCTCTTCTTCCTCTTCTTCCTCTTCTTCCTCTTCTTCCTCTTCTTCCTTCTTCTTCTGGAAACTGTTTAATAAAATATACCTCAAACAAGCCTCCTCGTTTTTTGTTTCCTGATTATGACCCAGGAGTTTTAGAGCCTATCAGTCAAATGAGCCTACAGATGTGAAATTTACTATCACAACTCGAAATTTTCTCTGAATGCTAATAGACAACCTATCCGACCCTGATAATTTTCATCTCCCCCTATTTGAATTTTATCTGTAAGGGAGGAGGGTTTTCTCAGTATGCTTACTTGGCAGACTTTATGTTTAAAATCTAGTTAGTTGGACGACTAGTGATACTAAATATAAAATGGTGCCATGCACATATCAGATATTAACTAGTTTCCTCTTAGAATCTGGCCGATACAACCTGCTCTCCGAATTTGTGGACTCAAAGTGGTTTATCTGGTAATCCAATTTATGTAGTATTTGCTTTGCAAGCTGAAGTGTCAGGAATGTGGATATATTTGCCTTCATCCTTGGTAAACCAAAAATTTATAGCTATTTATACCAGTAAAATTTATAGCTATTCATACCAGTATGAATAGCTCTGCTTACTGGTATGAATAGCTTTGCAGCCTAGAATTCTCTCCGAGTCTACCCATGTCTTCCTGTTCTGTCTGGAACTTCACCATCACTTTACCTTTCTCTGGTTTGTACACTATCTTCCACATTGCTGCTTAAGCCAGTATTGATGGTGGTTAGGTATGCTACAGCCCTTAACTGCAGCTGGAGGCACTGGGATTAATGAGGCTGCGGGGCACTTGATGGTGATGATGGGATCAATGTGGCAGGATTGAGCTGTTAGCAGCCTTTGGCCTTAGGTGGAAAAAAGGTGAGGAGAACTAACTTCCCAAAGACCCTTTGCAGCACCGATTCAACACTGGTTTGGGAAGCTGGACAAGAGGGCATCCTTGACTGAGACTTGTCCATGTCCAAAACTTGCAACTTCCTAGGAACATTTTGAAAGGGAAAGTCAAAACCCATTCCCAACACTCCCAAGGGCTAGTGAATCCTAAAGGGTTGGTGTTTTGGAGGTTGTAAATTGGGAGAAGGGGTGGAGAAAGAAACAAAAGAAAGAAGACAATGTCAAACTGCCCAGCAGAATTTCAAAAGCAAAACATGCCTCCAAAAAAAAAAAAAAAAAAAGCCTTCTGAATCCAGACTCTGTTTTCCACAGAAGGAAAAGAGCCACTGTTAAAGAATAAAATATTAGAGGGATAATCAAAAAATCATGCTCAATTATGTCTAAGGGTTAGTAGTCAAATGATGGCTACAAAATTTTTAATGTTTCATGGTTTACTGAGATTCAAGGGGAAAAAAATCTGCATGGAATCGGAACACCTCCATTCCAAGCTATGATGCATATGTTCTTAAAATGTGAATGTTTCCACTTGAAAACTAGAGCATGACAGGTTAAAATGCAGACAAAACCTAAGGGAGATTTTTGGAATGCACAGACGACAACTCCAGGAAATATATTAACCACAGCTAAAGCCCCAACTTTGTACTCAGTTTGAAATGCAGCTCTCCTCAGAAAATGCTTAATACAACAGTGAGAATCTAATGGAGGTTGGAATCTAAAAATCCACTTTGATGATATCTGCTGTTACAGTAATATAGACATACTGTAAATGTATTTTAAAATATATAGCCCGTTTAATTCCCCAGCTATAAATGGCTCAGGAATAGAGAAAGAGGGGGAGAAAGAAAGAACCCCCCACACTTCAAGCAAATGCTTTATGAAGACCTCATTGGAATCCAGCAAATGATTAATGTGAAGATATGGGAGGAAATCTGGGGAGCTGTATTAAAGCCTAGATCTCAGGTTCATTTCGATCAGCCAGCCGTGAACTCTGGGCCGAATTCATTACACTTTAATAGTGCTGGGAGAGGAAGAAAATGCAATTTCTCATTCCATTAGAAAACTAGAAAATACTCTCAGCTTGTCCCCCTATTAAGATGTGGCAGGTGACAGGGCCATTCTAGGGGACACGGTCAATGGAATTACAGCACATTATTTTTGTTCCTATAAAATATTGAAAGGCAAGCCTGACTGTGCAGAAGTTATTTCACTGATTTGGTTTTTATGTAAATAAAATATTGAAAGTTAATTAATCCGTGCTAGAGACTAATGATTATGCTTATTATATTGCATTTGATCGCGTAATTTGCATGATTCTCGCATTGCTGCTTAATAAGCCATTCCAGGTTATAAATAATTCTGAAATTGGTTTCTAATAATGGCATGCTATAAAAGGAATGGTTTTATTACACTAGCCAGAAAAGGGGAGCAATACCATACACGAATTGGCCTCTGTGTGAGTAGAGGTGCATTAGTAAATACTTCAAAGTGTGACATAGTCCAGATAAGGACCAAAAAATAAATATACTAGATAAGTCAGTCCAAAATAAAAAGCATCTTTGGAAACATGCAATAGCACTAAGTGAAATGTTTAGATCATGTTTAATCAGTGCAGTGGCCCACATACTGGAGAGAATGTGTGGCAATCTGTTAACTATAAAGAAAACTATGAAGCACTCATCATATAAGAATGTAAACCAATTACTATTTAATTTGAATTTGGTCAAGGAGCAATGGTACCGTGAATCATGAAGTAAATACATTTCCCATAAATTATTTTTGCATTACATTACATAATGTTAATCATTTTGAAATGTTAATTAAGAAGGTTATGTTGATCTGATTACTTTTTAAACTATGAAACATTATTTTTAAAAAATATTGAAATTGCCATTCTATTAAATTGTTTCTATCAGTAGGATCAAGCTATTATCTTTGCTAGGACAATTAACATACTTTATCTCTTTCTTCTTGCATATTCTTTTGTGTACTTTTTGAAAATAACTACCATACAGTTTATATTTTATTTCATTTATAACTTTTCTATTAAAAGAATCACTGCCATTAACCTTTGGAAGACCTAATAAAGTTTAATAGACCTCATTTTCTTTTTTCATAAAATCAGCGGTCCAATTATATTTTATTTGTGATTCTAAGTTCTATTTTAATTTGAACTAATTACCAATATGTCTAGGTTAAGTCACAGAGCTGCACTCTTTAAAACAAAAATTAATAGCAAAGATTTCTCTTGAGGACAAAAAGTAAATTTGTGATCTTTGATTCTCCAATATTAAGCCTACAATCAAATATTATCATTGGCATGTATTGGAATTGTATATTTCTATGACAGTGTAAACCCACACTTTAGAAGAAGTGTGAGGTGAAGATTTAAAGAACATTAATATGCCTGAGCAATGTAATTAGTCCGCTTCTCATGTGTAATGTCGTTACCCCATTGTTCCAGCTTTCCAGAGTTTGATAACAAATACTCAGATTTACATTGAATAAAAGTATTGATCTTTGTGAATTTTTATCTACTAATTTGACCATTTTAAGTCCCTGGGATATTCATCTCTTATTAAAACAAAAGTATGTACTTCCGTTTAGATGGCCACAAAATGCCAGATGGAAACAAATTCTGATCTCTCGGCCTATCAAATGCAAAAGAACTGGAGTTCTTAAAGTTCATTTGCAAAATCAGGTAGCACCGGCTTAACAAGTCGGTCAGCTTAGCAAGAAAAAAAAAAGTTAAGTCGTGACGGAATGTTTTCAGCACCGTGGATAGATCAAGGCTAGGCGCGAGGCCTCCTCTGGGCGCTCGCCTAGGAAATAGCACGGTGCGTCAGTCTTTTTAAAAGAAAGAAAGAAGAAATTTGGGGTTCGTTAATCTTGTACTCTTCTCCCCCAATTTTCGGAAGAGGTACAGCTGAAATTTTCTGTATAGAATCCATAGAGTTACCACTTGGAGGGTGGTGGATAAAAATGTGGACACAAAAAACATTTCCCCCATTATAGGTGAACCTCTCTGGCCTGAAAAGTTCCTTCTTTGGGTCAGATACCCACTACAGATAGTGTTTATTTTCTGCCTTCCTCCTTAAGGGGATCTTAATTATTTTATTAGAATTAAAAGCCCGGGGTTCACAGGTGGTGTGGTATTTTCACCCAGTCCCAGCGAGCTGGCAGACTACCCGAGCCAAAAGCTTCAGAAACAGCCAAGCGGGGCATTTTGCCTGAAAGATGAGAGGTATTTAAGAGAACTAAGCCAAGCCTGGAGGTTTAAGTGTGCCCTGCCCTTCTCAGGCTCCCACCGCCCCGCAATCTCCCCCTTTCCGCTTTCTGTATAACGGGACGTCTCCCCCATCTATCCAAATTCATAGCAGAAACTCATCCCTTGTCACTAGTGAGGGCCGGAGCAAGCTGCGCCCTGGGTTAGCTGATGGCGAGGCGCGGGGTCCCCTTCTCTGGAGGGGTCGGAGGGAGGTGAACCGCGCGCCCGTGAGGCCGGGCTGGTTGGGGGAGTTCTGGGGAGCGGGGCTGTGGCTACAGTGGCGGAAGCCCACCGGGGCCTGCCGAGTGTCCTAGCCCGTGTTTGGAAGGGGCTCGTCCGGCCCGGGCCGCGGGGGGGACGCGCGCGCGCAGCCGAGCCCGGTGCCCGCAGCGCGGCCTCCCCCGCGAGCCCCGGCCCCCGCAGCCCGGCCGCGGCCCGGCGTACCTGCACCCGCGACTCGGTCAGCCCGATGCGCAGCGCCAGCTCCTCGCGCATGAAGATGTCGGGGTAGTGGGTCTTGGCGAAGCTCCTCTCCAGCTCGTTGAGCTGCGCCGGGGTGAAGCGCGTGCGGTGGCGCTTCTGCTTCTGCTGGCCCTGCTGCTGGCCGGCCTGGCTGGGGTTGGGGCCGCCCTGGGGCCCCGGCTGCTTGTCCGGGTCTTTGGCGCTCACCGCCAGCGAGGCGGGGGTCGAGCCCACGGTGGTGATGTCCTCGCCCGGCAGCAGCGTGGCTCCCTCCACCGGGTCGGAGCTGGGCGCCAGGTCCCCGGGGTGGCCCCCGGGGTCAGAGCCCCCCACGCCCAGCCTGCACTTCACCGCCTCCCGGTGGCCCAGCAGCTCGGCGGCATCTTTCATACCTGAGGGGGGAAGGGGCTCGGTCAGTCGCGTCTTCCCCGCGCGCCTCCGCCTTCAGCCCGGCCACCGCGCCCGCCGAGCCCTCGCGCGCCCGCAGCCGAGCCTGCCTGGTCCCCAGCCGGCTGGCCCAGGCCTCGGGCTGCTGGGTTGGAAGAACATCTCCTGGCCTTCCCCTTCTCTCCACAGCCCGCTCTGGCGGTTCGCAGCTCCGGCTTTCGCGTCTCCCACAACAACAAAACAAAACAAAACGAAAACCTCCCAGGCCTGGCAGTAACACACACCCGGGTCCTCTCATTAACTGTACCCCCGGCGTCCCAGGAAACCGCGAACGAATTCTTAGACGGGGATGTGGGAGAGAAGCAAATCGAGAGAGACCCTAGGAGGCTGAGCATGGGCGCTAATGAACTCTGGCCGGCTCGCTCTGACTTTCAGAAGATGAATAAGTCTCCAAGCCTTCCACCTCTCAAAATAAACCGAAATCTGCTCCGCCTCCCCCTCAAATCAGAGAAAGTGTTTGGGAAATGGAGTCACATCCATCACTAAAGCTTCCCAAGCCGGAAACCCAGATCCTGGTACCCAGATAGCTTTAAAGAAACTCGAGTAAACTCTATAGCCATAACAGTGAATCAAACTTTAAAGAATTTAACTTTTCTGTTCCGAGAAATAAACGGCTCGTCCCTCCCGTCCTTGGCAACGCGGGGTGCCTGGTAGAGGGCAGGGTTGCCTGAGAGGAGGAGTTGGTCCTTTCTTCTCAACCAGCACATTTAGCAAATCCACCTTCAGACAGCCGCTCCTCCTTCATGCCAGATATGTGTGTGTGTGTGTTTAAGAAAACAAATTTAAGCACTTAGAAAGGAGGTGGTGGTGGTAGAGAAAAAGGGAAAGGGAGGAAAAAAATGAAAGAAATTCCAAATCAAAGCAAACAAGAGTGGGAAAAGAGAGAAACATTTCCAAACAAATTACCACGGACTAAAACTCATATCAAAATAATAATAATAATAATAAAGGGAAAAGAGGAAGAAAAAAATAAGAAAAACAAAAAGTGTCAGCATTCTCAACTCCTTTAAGACGATGTTAAATCAAATTAAACTTTAATACAGCACAATTACTTTTAAAGAAATTAGTCCATTTAGGGCGCATTAAGGTAAAATAAGGAACAAATTGACAATTTCCTGCCCCGGCTTCTCCTGGCTGCCGGGGTGAGAGGCGCTCACTCACCTAGCCTGGCGTCCAGGAGGTCGGCGTGAGACAGCATCGCGCACCGCTCCAGGGCGAAAGCTGTTCCCCCCCAAATTTTAGCGGCTTTAAGTTATTTAAAATAGATATAAGCTATAAGCTATACGATATAGATATATATAGATCACCTAAATGAAAGAAAATTCGGTTTGTGGTTAAAAAGGGGGCTTCTTGCATTATAATGTCCTTTAGAGAGACGGGGAGGTGCTTAACAGTTGAATGAACCCGTGAGCAGCTCGGCGAGGGGACCAATCAGGAGGGCAGCCTGCAAATGTCAGCGCCCGGTGAGTCCCCCACTCCGCCCGCCCGCCCGCCCGCCCGCCCGCGCCTCGGGGAGGAGGCGGCGGCCGCGGCCCAGGCAGCTCCAGCCTCAGCAGCCGCCCCGGCGCCAGCGGCCACCGTGGCCTCGCCGGGCCCGGCCGGGCGCACCTGCCCTTCCCCGGCCGGCCTTGCCCGCCTCACAGCGCAGGCCCGGGTCTCAGAGCCAGGACGTCGCCAGGCCGGGGGCAGTCAGACCCCCGAGCAGGGCGTGACCTACGCGTGACCTGGGAGTGCCCCGCCCCCGCCCGGCCAGCCTGGCCACCCTGGCCTCTGCAGTCCGGGCCTGGCGCGCCAGGCGGGCCGCCACCGCCTCTGGAGCGACCCTAAATTTCGCCACTGTTCTGCAGGCCTTCGCTGGGGATCCGGGCCACGGCTGCGCCCTGGGGCCTGCTGAGCCCCGCTCCCACCGCCAGCCTAGGGGGGAGAGAGGAAGCTGGCTCCCCCTGCTCTACCCAGGTCCGCGGCCCGCTTTGGGGGAGGGGGAGGCTTCAGGAGGTGCGAGCCCCTCCGCGGCTCCCGTGGCTGCCATTCCAGGACCCCCTGCCCGCTGGGCCTACCTCTCACCCGACTCCTAACCTGCTCTCTCGGCCAGAGTTTCTAAGTTCGGCTAGGCTACCAAAGCCACTTAAAGCAGTAAACAAAGTTAAACGCTCTTTATTTTCCTCTTGGATATGTTAAACTACTTGAACAATTTAAAGTGCTTTTGCACAAGTGAAGCGAACCATTTCTAATGTTCTGATTTTTCAGAGCCAGCCAACAACAAAGTTTAGATTAGTAATATATTTCTAACCAGAGTAATTTTCAAGATCATTAGGCATTTATGTAATTAGTGCCAAATCTATAAGCTTTTATTACGATTATTAGAGTAAAATCAGTATAAATTTGTACTAATTTACTACTGTTTAGACTTGGCTGTCAAGCCCAGAGGTTCTTATTGTAAATGATAACTGAGGAAATTAAGTGCAAAATTCTGTACCGTTTCTGATCTGCTCCCAAACAATCCGTTTCAATTGTATTTGCAGCAGAACATGATGCCCCTTCAAAGTTATTTGACTTGTGTTTTTATTTGCAACACAAGAAAAATGCCCTCTACCCAAGGCAAAATGAAAACTGATATTTACTGCTCCCAACTTGATTAACATTGATTTTTAATTCGAGAGTGATGCAATTAAGATTATTCATTTAGTGCAAATAAAGCTTCCACAAAAGGGTGGCCCTCTGAAGTCTGTTTTAAATAATACCGAACAAATGGCTTTTTTTGTTCGTCGTCCAATTGACTTACACAAAACATTGAAGATGCTGCCCGAGAGCAGATGCGAGGGTGTGTGTGTGTGTGTGTGTGTGTGTGTGTGTGTGTGTGTGTGTCCTTTACTGTGAGTGTGGCAGGGAAGAGCAAGGAGACAAAGGAGGCGGCTAAGCAACTCTGGAGCACTTTTGTCCCCCTCTTGCCTTCCTCGGCCCTTTTCGCCCAAGTCCTGCCGAGCACTCACACGCGGGTGCGCGCGTCTGCTCTGGGGCGACCGACCGGGCTTGCGAGCGCAGGGCCTCGGCTGCGGAGGGGCTCGGGGGCCCCCGCGGCCTAGCCGGGACCCGGGAGGCGCCCAGCCGGCAGCTGTCAGGGCTCTCCGCAGGCCTGGCTGCCCAGGCCAGAAAGGTTCTGCCCCAGAGGGGAACTCCAGGCCTCCAGCAAAGCCAGCCCCTCTGAGAGCGGCTTGGTTTTCTCTGCACAAAACCCCCAAACTTGAGCACTGGAGCGCGGGCGCGGGGGCCGGGGTGCGTGGGTCAGGACCTGGCACGAGGGCGCGCGCCCGGGGCCTGGCCCAGGTTTCGAACCGCCAGGGTGGAGCGCCCTGGCTGTGCAGGCCCGAGCGCCCGCCCGGCAGCCTGGGTCGCGCGGCCCAGGGAGGACCTGGCGGGCGGGACCGGCCCGGACGGCGGCGACCCGTCCGCGGCCCCGCTCCTGCGGTGGCGCGCGCCTGAGTGGGGCCGGCGGGCCGCCTGGAGGAGGCCCGGCCGCCCGCCGACACCGCGGGCACCAGCGCTGGGCCCGGGCCCAGCAGCCCGCACCTGCCGCGGCGGCACCGGGCGCCCTCCGCGCGCGCTCGCTCGTATATTCTGTTCTGTTGGGTCTTTTCAGGTCGATAAATAAATGTGTAATAGTTAATGTGAAGACACATCAGAGCAGTAACAACGGGACAAAATCAAGGGATTATCCATCTCTGTTAGTAACCGCTGAATAACAATGCTGCGGCGTGATTGATAGCCCGCTTCGTTTTATGACTTTTCTATTGGTCTTGATTTTTATAGCAGTATAAACAAACTAAATCATTTCTTCCAAGACTTCGGAGCGTCAGCACCTCGGAGAGGGGAGGGACAGAGTTAAGAGGAAAAAAAAAAAAGAAAGAAAAGAAAAAGGGAAATCTGGGAGTGGGGGGTGCCGGGGCAGCCGGGGGCGTCGAGGTGGGGAGCGCGCGAGCGAGCCCCGAGCCGGCAGCCGGCAGCCGGCAGGCGGGGCGGAAAGACAGTGACAGCGCAACTCGCCCCCGCTCCGCGCTCTCGCTCCGCAGCCCGGTCTGGCCCACGTCTGAATCCACCTGGGCAGCGCTCGAGATGTATTTACCAGACTTTCACTCGCCGTCATCTTCCCACGTTCCCGGGGCGGCCGGGAAAGGGCCGGTCAGGCCCGTTGCTGTTGATAATTCAAAGCATTTCCCACATGATCATGGGAACTGAAGTCCCTAACAAGGCGAGGCTTTAGCGCAATGGCCCCAAATCTTCGGAATGACAAGAGTGTCTTCAGAAATCACTTCAAAGCAAAGTAAAAGGATTTTCTATGACGGATCCAGTGATTTTTCCTCAATAAATAGGTTTTAGATTGTTACACACACGTAGAAGCGGAACAAAGGGAACTACCAGAAAATATATTGGTTGCCCCTAATAAAATTTATTTAGACAGTTTACTTCTCATAAAAAATAGAGATTGAATTTTGTACAAGAGCCTGCCAAGGGACGATGCACAGGGAAATCTTTTCTTCTTCTTCCTACCCCACCCCTCCTTTTTAAAGAGAGCACAAAGAGTCTCTAAAGGCCCTGGAACCGTCTCCCGGCCCCTTTGGTAGGGACCCCAGACCAAGGAGAACTTGGTAGCTCTGTGAGGAGTCGACTTGGGGCGAGGGGTGTTTGGCTAAAAATAAATAAATAAATCGTGTAGCTATGTAAATTACAAGTACACCCGCTGGACAAACGATGACAGGGTTAAGTCTTGCTCCAATTTTGGAGCAAGACTTAGAAATAAGGTGTGGCTGGAATAGTTGGGACAGGATAGAATGGGGACACCGGACCACGGCCCAAAAGATGGATTCATGCAAATTAGGTTTATGATCCTGATTTTCTCTCTAATTGTGTTTCTGCTATCATTGCAAATCCTTTGTACAGACAGAGACAAGGAGAATAAAAATATGTGGAGGGTGCTCCAGGAAGAATTGGGTAGTGTGCCCAGAGCCCTAATTGCTTTTCCACTTACAGAATCTCTGGTGTTTATTAAATGCAACTTTCAGCTGCTTGCGTTGTTTGTAAACGGCTCTTTTCTGTGAGACAGTGGGCTGAAATATGGCGCGTTATTATTCACATTCCTGCTATTAGATGCTGAATTGTAACATTGTTCCCTTTAATGAGAAGCGCCTCCCTCAATAATTAACGATCTCACATTTTCCTATTTTCTTGCCCGATGAAAAGAATCAATTTTAATTCGTGGTAAATTACAGCTATGCTTTGGGGGTATTATTTGCTTACTGCAAACAAATCAGGGCACTTGAACACTCCTGTTTACTTTTCCAGATCTGCAACAACCCAAAACCAACTGTACATCAGATCGTATTGCTCAGGCCCACTTCAGAACCGAAGAGAAGATGAAAGGGTGGGGAGGGAACGCGCGCGCGGGGTGGGGGTGGGGGGCGCTCTGAGGCCCAAAACGTTTGCAACAACGGTGACCAGGATTTCTCCCAGACCGACCTCAGCCGCCAGAACTCTCCAAGCCTCAGTGTCCACCCTGTCTGAAGGGTCCTTAAATCCCATGACCCTCCTGGAATTTCGGACTGCTCCAGGGATGGCGTGTTTGTGGGAATGGGCGAGTGGAAAGGAGAGCTGAGAGAGCGCAGTCTCTACAAATGGGTGCCCTTTGTGGAGGACTCCACACTCCTCTGAGAGAACTCTGGGGGTCGCCAGCCAGGGACCACAGTCAAGGAAGAGTCAGCTGAGTGCCCCTGCCGGTCCATTGCGAAAGCTCCCTCCTCTTCTGGTGAGGGCTCTCCAAGGCAGCAGTGAGGTCTGTAACTCTTAGTCAAACAGACCTGGGCCTACCCCAGCCCCCAGACCTCTCTACCCCGCGATGAAGGACTTGAGGTCAAGATGCACGTCTTCAGATACTGTCTTCAGAGCCGACCCGCCTAACGGAAAACAAAAACAAAAAACCTTGACTGTAAGTCCAAGCTCCCAACATTTAGTTTTCCTTCCCCCAACACTAAGTGCAGGGCTTCAAGCATGACCCATGAACTCGGGTGCCCCCTTTTGTGAGCAGTGCGTTGCAGGTCCATTGCTTGGCCACCTACGCGGCTGTGGCTTGCCAGTGGCACTGAGAAGCAAGGAATCTATCCCAAACTAATACCATAACCTGGGAGCTTCTGGCGATACAGGAAGTGATAGATGGGGGGTAGATGGATGGGTGGAGAGATCAGACAGTTTTTCTTTCAACAGCTTCGCACGTTTGCTCTTGCAGACCACTGCAGACAGGCCAAACAGGCCACCTGCATGACTCAGCTGCCAGACCCTTCTTTCTCTAGTCTTTTCCTTCTGGTAACTGGCACTTGAGACCCT